AGGAATTCGGGGTTCAGAATGATAGTAAGTCGGAAAAAGGTGAATATTTACAAATTTTCGGCATTTTGTTAAGCCATTTCGACATATTAATCAATATTTAATTGATATTAAGTCTAACTGGTATCTTTATTGTGTAGGCGTGCAAACAGCCAGCATAACTATGGCTATCCTTACTACAGATATCATATGATTGTGGGAAAATTTAACTACCAGTCCTTTATCACCTTAAAAGAAATAGGGTGCACAGAGCTTATATATTTGACTTACTGATAGTCTCGAAAACCTGCTCAATAACGAAAGTCTAAATTTATTTTCTTTCATCGGCTTGATTATTAGGAATATATAATGCTATAAAACAGTACAGGTGCTCACATTTTATTTTTTTGAGGATATGACAAGTTTGAATGTTATCCCAATATTATATTTCGCTTAAAGTATGTCTGAAACATTTAGTACCATCATAGATCTCTAAACATTTTTAACTGCTCCTATGTACTAGTTTTTCTATTCAATGTTTTCTCGCATTTTTCTCGTCACTTTCTTCAATTTTTAATCAGGTGATTTTCTACAAGGCTGTCGATGTGCCTCTAGAGTTCAGAATCGACGTACATAACACCTTGATTATGCCAACCGGAGTGATGGTGATGATACATGAGATTGGGACATTTCCTCACATCACTCAGACGTATCTTCTGGACGAGTGCGCCCTGCTTGATTTGCGTATCACACGCAAGTTCCATATGCCCATGAAACGAAGTATGACTCGCATTCACGACGACAATGACGACCCATCTGCAATTATGCCATGCCAACCGACTAGACGAAATTACACCTACATCAACGTTATCACTCGTCAGACACGTGTCTATGCTGGTGTCTGGGTCGATTGTGTGTTTGAGCATGTACAAAATCTTGTAGCAGAATTTTGTGCCTGTTTGATGGAGCAGTTTCCGGTGCATGAACGATTTGCCAACCTTCCATTCTGCAAAGATCCCAACCAAAATATTTCCAGCCTCCATTTACACAATTGTCTGCACGAAGTGTATGTACGCATTTTTGGGGAAGAGTTCGCCTCCATCACTGAGTGCTATCGCGACTTTTGCGAACACGCCTCTTTCTCGACGGTGATATCACACTCACGATTTCCTGCTGTTGAGGCGAGAAAGTCGCATCTCAACTGGTTACAGACTCTGGCCGGAATGGAGGTTGATGAGCGTGCTCACTTTGCCGGAAAGTCTGATTTGGCCAGATATGCTCTTCGGTTGCCAGCCAGCAACAATTTCTCCGATGCCAGCGCCAGTAGAGAAGAGTGGAGTCTAGTTCGGGCATATCGTGAAGGTCGCATAGATCTGCTGAACATCGAGTTCGTAGAGCGTAACTTTATGCTACTTCGAGTGGTGCCAGCCTCGCTGTTCATGGACCGTGTAGAGGAGACTGAAGAGTATCCTACCAGCAGGCTTCTGTCCGACGTCGGTGGTTGTGTCGGTCTGTGGCTGGGCGCGAGTCTCGTAACTGTATTCGAGCTTTTGGATCTGATTTTCGACTTTTTTGAACTATCCCAATGGAGTCTTGCTCGTCGACGTTTCACAGACTCTGAAAGGCGCCGTCTAATGGCAGAAATCGAGGTATGGAGAGATCGAGCTCTCCGAATGGAGGAGCAACAACAACTGAACCATCCCAGCAGCCATATTCCGTCGAATTCCTACGAAAAACAGGTGAATGACAACAATATGGTATATGATGGCTTACGAAAGGATGCCAGTTTTCATTCATTTACTGGCTTGTATACAGATGGAGGAATGACATTGATGCCAGGAGTCTCAGCGGCCCTAGAAAACTGTTTAGGTACTGCGGTTCCGGCAGATGTCCATACCAACTGGTTGGCTCCTTGGCTGCAGGCAAATGAAAAGCCAAGGATGTCCCAAGCAATAATAAAGGACGACACTTTAGCGACTTCATTAGGGCAGGTACAGCATCAGTCTGGATCTGTTCATCAACTTGGCATGGAGAGTCTGTAGGGGTTCTATTCATGCCAGAACACTACACTAAAGGCAATCCTATGCATATTCTCAATCCATTTAATTAACAACTACAGGCAGTAACAAGGTCAAACTCAGGATCTCTTATCTTTTCACCTCTTCATTACCAGTTCTCTTTTTTGTCCAGTTGAACTGGCCAGATTTCCGGAAACAAGGGACAAAATCGCGCCAAAATTGACTCCATATGATTAATGTCTGCTTGTAGATGATTGCATTATTAGACCTAAGTCAAGAGCTGGCTCTCGATTTGAATTCACAAAATAAACCATTTTAATTGCCAAACATCAAATTAAGTCACATAGTGATTACCAAACCCATATTTGCTATACGTTTGATGCTTTGAGGGAGTATTTAATGACACATGTAAATTTCGCAAATACACCGAGCAAATTCCTGTAAAATGTATTACATTATAGTAAATGATGTGGCTTTATTTCAGAATGCTAAATTTTGCATTTATTTCTTTACTAGACAAAACTAAAAATATGTATTATAGACTATTGAAAGCAGTAAAACCACAACAGTGTAAGTAAAATATAATAAAAAAAGTAAAAATAGCTTTTCTGGTTTTGGGGTTTAAGAGGCATAAAGTCTTTTTGCCTCCAAAAATTCTGCTATAGACCTCCTGATCTGTCAAATCTAGGCCTCAACGACAGATTCATACCTAACGTCATGACACAATGAGAGGTAGTGTAAATTGAATAGACTAAACTGGAACTGTATATCAACAGAGTAAATTAATCAAACTCCTCTTTATCCAAGGCTTTTAGGATTTTGCTAGTCCAAACTGCATGTATCTGAAAACTTTTAGGAGATCGACTGTACAATAAAACTTTAATTACTGATTTGCTTTATGTAAGATAAGCCTTCAGGAATCGGACTAAGACATTTTTTCTAGAAAAGCATAGATGTCCTATATTTATTGAATGTATGAGAGGTAATGTGCACCAACAGCTTCCAATAAAGAACTGTCAATGATACAGTTTTAAACGCATTTGCGCCAAATTAGGCATAATCAAATCCTCGTACTTCTGCTGTAGCTAACATTTTAAAAATCACTTATTAAGACAGTTCGGATAAAGTCAATATGCAGGAATATATTGAGTAGATCTTACAAACGGACAGAGGCATGTACTATTTTATGGAGCTTAAGTAATAGACAAAATAAAACTGAAGTTGAGGAATTAGCTCTAGCGCCCCCAAGGATTTTTTCTTGGATACTTTCAGTCTTTCCACCTACATATGATTTAATTGAGCTACTGAGCACATGTAAATCTTCTTATGAAGAATTGTTTCCATCCATCCGAATTCTGGCCTTAGCAAACTTGAAAACAGAGCTCAATAGATATAGGAGAAATTTCCTTTTAGATAGGGTTAATAAAATTGGCCAATAAGTTTGAGAATATGCTAAGGAGGCATAGTGTGGCTTTATTAGTCAGTGAATAGATTTATAAGCGTGCTGATAGTGGCAGAACAACAAATTCGAATTGTAATGAAAAATCGCCTTTCAAAATTTATTATAACAGCAATTAATTTAAATATGCTATCATATAAATGGAATTGAAATGAACTACGATATTCAATGCTCTACTTTCAAAAGAGAAAATGGCGCAACATATTTGCTTAACACATTTTCAAAATATGCAGAAATATATTTAACTATTTAAACTTCAAGTAATCGGTAATAGAGCTCTAGCTGAGATAAATTGATGATTCATTTTATTATAACAGGTTAGATACGCCAGTTAAACATATGCACATGTATGTATGCATGTATGAATGTATGTATGTATGTATGTATGTATATATGTATGTATGTGGGTGCATGAAAGCATGCATTCATGCATGAATTTATTTATTTATGGGGGCATTTGTGGAGTAACCTTCGGCTTCAGTCAGCATTGACAAAGATCTCCTGAGACCACCATCGGGTGTTGTCGGGTATTGTTCTCCTTGATATGGTAAAGATAGATGTGGTTCATAATAAGTAAACTCATGCAAACCTTGAATCTCCTTTCAGCCCTCTCATTTTGCATTCAGCCTGTCCATAAAAATGCACTAAGACACATGAGAAAGATTTGCTATTTCTCCTAAAATTAGCATCTCTGCTAAATTAAGGTAGATTTCAGATTCTTATTTATTGTTTTAGATATAAAGTTTGAATACATTCCTTGCACATTTACGACAAATCCATCATTATGTGGTACCAAAATAAAGCGGTATTCATTTTGCCTAATGCTAGTGATGATAGGCTTTGTGAGATCTAAACCAAAGACGTACTGCTAAATATCAAGTCTTGAAAATGGAAGTTGAACATTCGAGGGCTCATCGAAAAGTAGCCGAAGTTTATTATCAAAAATGTACAATATTGCAACACTGTATATATAATTATATAAAATTAAAAATGTAACATCTTTCTTAGTATTGGTCAGTTCATGAAATGCATCCTTAGGTAAAACGAAATTTAATATATTAATAATATACGACAAAAATGCCCTTCTTTATAGCAAATAAATAAAACAACTGTTCACTTCTTAACATCAAAATGTATTGACTAATCGAAAAAATATATTATTTATAAATAATTGAGATGCCTCCATTATGAAGCTTGTCCGACTATATGCAAAGATAGAAAGTAAAAATATTGGTTAATTTAATTATCATCACCCTGATAGCCTCAAAAAAATGTTTTCCCTTTATAAGAAATGAATTTCTAAGTAAGCAGGAGGATTAATAGCTGGTATAAAACATAGTTATAGTAGCTTATTTGGGGACGTTACAGAGCTGATTAGTCAGTAAACGTGGATATTCTCTACTAGATTCACTTATGCTTATCGAAAACGATAAGCACCTAACAGAATGCGAATGGATATTATTAATTTCATTCATTATTGAATGAGAAGGGCCCTTTGTGATACAGAGTGAATAATCTTTTACTGTGTAAATCATGTTTAACAGGTTTAAATTACATTTAGCCCAATTCATAAGGCAGTTAAAACTGGTGAATCTCTATCACAACCAATTTACAAAACTAATCCGTTACTAAATTTTAAATAAGCTACTTAATTTTGATTCTTTATTTGGTTTATTATCGTAAGTAGTTGCGCTAGGATGTCTTAACTAAAGTAAAAGACTAACTCAAGCAGTTTACTAGCTTCATAAGTGTATATCAATGCTTGCAATTAGCAAGGAAATTTTGTAGATATTTGAAAGGTTGTACTATGATATATTCACGCAATACTCGGTCGGCAAACCTTGTTTTTCAAAGCCAATTATAAACTTAATTAAACTGTGCATTGTAGCTTTAATAGTAATTTGAAATTCTTGCCTACGCATCAAAACAAAATGAACTTTATCATATAAAACTTTGCACTCAGGAGTATTTTAATCACTGTTTAAATCAGTCATATGTAATCGCAGAATAAAGCTGCACATGTAATAAAAATATTCTAGAAACTCCTAAACTTTCCCTAATAACAGGCGCTGAAATTGTATGGGCCGGAGTCAAATGTTCTATCTAATGTCTAAATAAACGAAAACATAATATACTTGTCCCCGAGACAACACTGTAGAGTGGCTCTTCGAAATATTGTCTGAATCATTACAAGGAAATTCGTAACCTAAATCGTAGTCACGAGTCTATATAATACAAGAAAATCTATATGGCTTGCTTTTCCTTTCTTATGAGCAAACTGAGTATACATTCATAATATTCATAATTATATAAATGAATTTCTTAGGAATACGAAAATTCTTAAAGTGACCAACCAAGAGTGGGAATATGTAGACTAATATTGATGTAGAAAAACCATACAGGAAATTCCAGCTAAACTAAGAATACCAGAATTAAATTTCATTTAAGGACTCAACCAATTCACCTTGTCAAAAATGATACCAATCATAACCTCTAATTAATTCTATCAAAAATGATGAACATAATAGATAAGGTAGAAATTCTAAATATGAAGACCAATATTTTGTCGTCTCTTTTCATTGGTCTGACCATGGTTTCGCAAATTGGCTGTGTCGTCAGAGAGAACTAGTCATACACCACTTGTTTGAATCCTCTGCTATAGTACTTATGGCAATTCCTAGCATTGGATCATGAATCTGACAAATTTTCAGATGTTTTGCTGGCATCATAGTCAACATTGTCATTTAGTCATGCCATTCAAAGTAGCGAGAATAATTCATTACAGATCCCTTGCCCAACGACTGTGTCATCCAACCTCTTTCTGTCGAGGGCTCAAATATAACAAGCAGAAGTTGTGATGGGAATCAGAAAGATACGATAATAGATATTAAGTAAGGGAACCAGGACAGAAGAA